ATCCAAATCAATATAAGACTATATTTTCGAAACATATCAATATTTTTAATACCAAGAAATCTATTTTTTCACATAAGGAAAAGAATGGTGACCTCAGAACATTTGCTGAATCTTTTTAATTTACGTTTTTAAACCTTCTTTGCGTTAATGAACAAAATTCTGCTCTTTTAGTATATGATTCTTACCATAATATTATCCATTTTTTTTATAATAATTCTTCAACTCTTTGACTCTTGTTGCTGAATGATGACACACATACCGTGAGGAAACGTATAAATAGATAGATCATTATTTATTATTCTGTTTGCAATTTGATTATGTTATACTTCGTTGTGTAAAAATACTAAAACAATCCAAATACAAAAAAAATGAAGTCTGATTTCATAAAATTTTGTGTTATAGGAAATTAGATTGTAATGATTGTAATTGCTAATCATTGGAGAAATCCAAATCAATGTAAGACTATGTTTTCGGAACATATCAATATTTTTAATAGCAAGAAATCTATTATTTTACATAAGGAAGTGAATGGTGACCTCAGAACATTTGCTGAATCTTTTTAATTTATGTTTTTAAACCATCTTTGCGTTAATGAACAAAATTCTGCTCTTTTAGTATATGATTCTTACCATAATATTATACATTTTTTAAAAAATAATTCTTCAACTCTTTGATTCTTGTTGCTGAATGATGACACACATACCGTGTGGAAACGTATAATATAAATAGATAGATCATTATTTATTGTTCTGTTTGCAATTTGATTATGTTATACCTCGTGAAAAAATACTAAAACAATCCAAATACAAAAAAAAATTGAAGTCTGATTTCATAAAATTTTGTGTTATAGGAGATTTTATTTAAACCTATCACAGAACGCACCATTTTTACTACAACCTTTCAAATACCAAATTCTAATTATGCGTGTGGGAAAAGATAATATTAAAAATACTTTTAAATAACCTTATAACAAATTAATTCAATTTATTATAGAACTAATATTTTATCCAATTGTGTATTTATTTTATTATTACTATTATTCTTATCTGTTATACAAGAGATATTTCTATGCAACTTTGACGCAAAATAGTGACGACATCAAAATCAGCTTCCGCCGGATACTCCAGATTATTTTTTTTATTATTGTACTGTGCCCTTTTTTTAAATAAGAACACATGGATTACATTCTAAGAAAACGACAAAATTAAAAGAACGCATAAAAGGAGCTCCTTGAGGATGCAAAAAAATTAAAAAACTAGTGGGTTGCATTGCATCATGCCTTAAGGCAAATTGCTCGAACCGTAATTAAAAATCTTAGTACGGAACCCAAAAAAATTTACACAAAATTTGTACACATATCTCTGTAAAATATCTGATAATTTGATGTACATATGTACAATACACATTTTTGACCGCAAAATTACATTTTTTTAACTTATTTTTATTGAGAGTCCATAACCGCTGGACCTGCCTTCCCAAAAATTTAATCAGTTCTTCATCCTGCCAATACAAGTAAAATCTTTTTTGAATTATTAAAATCGGGCGTTCCCTTAAAAACTGAGTTACCGCTCTTGGCACTTTTTGCCCCGTATCTTAGAAGCGGCTAGACCTGCTTTCGCCAAAAACTAATCAGCACGTCTTCTTATCAATATGAATCGAATGATTTTTGAATTATTCAAATCGGTTGATCGGTATTCCCGAAATCGTTGACAAAAATTTGTATCCGCACGCATACACACACGATAATATCCATTTTGCCAAAATGTTCAGAAACCTCTGAAACGTAAAGATATATAAAAATTTTCAGTTTCGATTTTTTTGCGATTACTATAACTTACCCTATGGGAAGTTAAAAAACAAATTTGTATGCAAATTAACTTTAAAGTTGTATATAACTTCATTTTATCCTTTCATATTTTATAAAAATGTATATTATGATTTTTGAATACATACTTCAAATAGGTACGTTAATCATTCTTAAGTTATATAAATTGTTATTGATTTTTTAAATAAAAGTATAATAATTATATTTATTATAAATTTATTAGTTGTTCCAAAATAGGAGCCTCACCATAAATTTCAATTGCCATTATAAGTATACCAAGTTGCTAAAAAGGGTTATAATAATGTACAACATTGCAGATTATTTAATTTAGTACGATGTTGTAAAAAAAATTATTAATATGAAATTTAAAAACTTTGAAGAAATGCATAAACGTATTGGAATCCAATTTACTACAATGTAAGGATGTCACCATCATAAGACAAGAGAAGAAGTTGTCTGGTATGAAATACGTTTTTAAAGTATACCAAAATGCTGTAGGTGATTATGAGATAATTTAATTTTGTACGAATTTCCAAAATATTTTATAAATATTAGACGAACGGTTTAAAAGTTACAAAGGATACAACAAATAAATGCACGGTCGATTAACGATTCAAATCTCTTAGTCCAGTCATTTAAGCTTAAATTAGGTAAGAAATCTCGGAATTCGAGATACCCAGCTGTAAGTCTGTAAATACTTGTATATTGACAATCATCTAAAGTTGTCTCAAAACTTACATATGGTACTGACACCTTACCATATGTAGGTACAAGTATTTACAGACTTACATCTGGGTATCTCGAATTCCGAGGTGAACTTACTATAATGACTGGACTATCTGCACTGAATATGTATAAATTATAATTTTTAAGATCATATTTAATTATTAAATAATGTCGATGGGCTCGACCGTAGGTAAGCAGTTAAGAGCGTCGGGACTTGCTTTAGAGGTCCCGGGTTCGATACCCACTTCGAGCAGCCTGTTGTCAGGCAGCAGTGACAACGATTTTCACTTGGAAATATAGATAGCAATATGTTTCCAAGTGAAAATAGCCCTTGACGGGCATTGCTGCACCAATAAAAAGTCAGCCCTATTAGATTAATTCTAATAACAAAAATCATCAAATATGGATGGATTAACCATTGGGTTACCATCTAAAAATACGAAGTAAGGAGAAGTTTCAGCCCAACAGCTTATAGGACGTAAGGTTCTGATTACTGTTCAAAAAAAAAAAAATAAAATAAAAAAAAATATTGTCGATGATTTTATTATAAGTGCTAATATATAGATGCAAATATATAGTGAAATTTTCTTAAGGTTTCTACAACATCAAGTCCCATTGACATCAATACAACTACATTTGCAATACCCGTTAAGTCTGAATCCATATACAATAATTTATACACCTGATTGCATGACACAAAGTTGGTATTGAAATGCAAAAGACAATACCACACCTGTACAGGTTATTGAGAGCCAAAAATAAAACAATAGGCTCATTAAGAACATTCTTTGAAGAAAACATTAGTTTAGTTTCTTATTGGAATAATATATTCAATGGAAACTATACATTTTAATAGAATATTGGGCACGTTCTTACAAAATTAAGTAATCTAAAATATAATATTTTAGATTACTTTTTCATGTAACAATATTTTAAATATTGTTACATGAAAATTAAATACCTTAAATGAAACACTAGGCTTCACTCATTGGAGTGAACTCTAGATAGTTATTTCTTTTTTTTTATTTTTCTTTTATTATTATTATTCTTATTCTTATTATTTTTTTTTTCCTTTTTCTTTTATTATTCTTATTCTTATTCTTATTATTTTTTTTTTTTCTTTTTCTTTTATTATTCTTATTCTTATTACTATTTTTCTTCTCTTTCGATTCCTCTCCTTTGTGTCACAATAGCTTATAAGATTAAATTGTATCTTGATTGCTATTAATAAATAAATAAAAAAAAATCAAAATTAAACAGACAAATAGACACTCTTCAGACTTACGTTTTAGCATTTATTTATTATTTATCTTGTAACTTCTAAACGATTCATCTAGAATAAACAAAATATTTAGCAAATTTGTACAAAATTAAATCATCTATAATATTGTTTAATATTATAAGACCATACAGCAACTCCTTGTACTTTAAAAGCGCAAATGAAACCAAGTAACTACCCTTAGGTTTATGCGTTTAATTATTAAATTTGTAACTTTTAAACGTGTTGTCTAATAGAAACAAAATGTTTGGCAAATTTGTACAAAATTAAATTATCTATATTATTGTTTAATATTAAAAGACCATACAACAACTCCTCGTACTTTAAAATCGCAGTTGAAACCAGTCAACCCCTCTTAGAATCTTATGCATTTATTTATTATTTATCTTGTAACTTTTAAATGGTTCATCTAAAATAAACAAAATATTTTGGAAATTTGTGCAAAATTAAATTATCTTTAAACCAGACAACTACTCTTCGAAACTTATGCATTTATTTATTATTTACCTTGTAGCTTTTAAACGGTTCATCTAAAATAAACAAAATATTTGGGAAATTTGTGCAAAACTAAATTATCTTTAAACCAGACAACTACTCTTAGGATCCTATGCATTTATTTATTATTTATCTTGTAACTTTTAAACGGTTCGCCTAAAGTAAATAAAATATTTGGGAAATTTGTGCAAAATTAAATTATCTATAACATTGTTTAATATCGTAAAACCCTACAGCAACTCGGTATACCTTAAAATAACAATAAAAAAGGGTTAATAAAGATAAATCTAAGCAATTTTATTTTATCGATGATTCGACAAATCATATATATCTTTGTGTTCTAATTAATTATATAAATTTGTTTTTAATTATCAATATTTTATTTTATCAAAAATAATTATCAATTATTAATATAAATGACCTTTGGTAAGTGTATTTCCGGTTTAACCGGAACTTTAGGATGAGAATGTTGGTAATTAATACATATTTACTTTTTTAAATTAGCTATATTCACACTGAAATTTTCGTATGTCATGTCAAATTTCGTGGTTTGTATTATTTTCTCACTTTATAACAATTTTTATCTTTATAATCTACATCAAGAATTTACATACAATATTTTAAATCTATATTATTTAAACAATTGCGATAAAGAACAAAGGAATTTTTACTCACCGCTAAGATCACAATGTAGGAAAACAATAAATATCTTCTACACCTCAAAGAAATCCCCATTTCTTACGAAAATTTACGAACTGCATAAATAATACACAAAAACAATTTTAATTCAAACCATTTTGTAAAAAAAACACCTTTGGGTACAAATCAAACGTGTTGGTAAAACAATGAATTTAATAAAACTATTTTACATCCATCACAAAAACACGTGAAAGTCCATTACATTTTGTCCACAAAGTTTTTCAACCATCCACCATTTTCGAAAATCTTTCACGTACACTAAATCATGCCGTAGTGTATTAAACTATTAATTAATTATATCCAATCCATTGTAAAATTGTTGATTATTAATGTTTTTTAATATAGTTTTATCTTTTATTAATATTTTTTCGTGAAAGTTACACAATGTTGTGTTCGCGTACATGCAGATGTAAAGTTTGTTCCAAACTGCTTTCAAAGCACGCACTGTTGTAAATGCATGCATGGGGTACACGTTTGACATAGGCGTAGGTAGATTTAGGAGAATATTCATTTTTAACTAGAAAAAATAAAATAAAAAAAAATTAATAGTGATAATATGTAAACGTTTGGTTAGAAAAGTATTTATTTTTAGATTATTTATTTAAACAATATTTTATGATTTCACACACTAATTATCAACAGTCAAAAGTTAGCCATGATAAAGTAAATGTACCATCTAAATCAATTTTATTAAAAGCCAGTTTTCAATCGCATTTGTAAAGCGTTCAGGGTACTTTATGGTTTAAAAAAGTTCATTATTTACTTTTACACAAATTTGCCTGACACCCAATTCATATCAAATCAATCTTTTATAAACTATAAATATTTTACGCACGCCTATGCTTTCACATGTACACAAAAGATTCACGAACACAATGGCGTCTAGAGTTGTATTGAGTAAAACCTTACAAGAGAACAGGTAACAGCTTAGTAATTCTCTTGCTGAAATGTTAAATTATTATATTATTTCTAGGTACGATTCAATGAATTATGCACAAAAAATATATAAAAAAAGCTTATGAACGCCGTAATTTTATTTACAGGCCTTCACCTGTATGTTATTCAACCATTTTTTTAAATAAAAAAATAAATGGTCTCTCATACACACGGCCATTTTGTAATAAATATGTTATGAATAATAATTTATAATAAATTTACAATGTAATTATACTATAATATATCATTGACCTTACTTAAGCAAGAGTTTTCAAAAAAAATTCAATCTGATTCGAACAGCCAGTTTTATTAAATAAGTATAAATTATAAACATAATACCATTATTAATACGAATCCTAGTTACACCGGTACTAGTTTAATTAATACTTAGTCAAACAATAAATAAAAATATACTTAATAATACTGAGATTTTTACAAATCATTTGGTCAATAAGAAACTAAAATTAAGACTTTTCACAGCAAATTTGAAACAAATAAATATGTCAATACTTAAATAATCTTAATCTTACAATTTTGTAAACCAGAGAGCTTAAATATTATAATATTTTTGGTTTACTGGTATGCTTGTATTCGTTTTATCACGTACGAATATGTCAGGTATATAGAAGTCAAAAAAGCACCACCGGTCAATATTATGGAAAATATAGCCATTGAAATTCCCACTAAAAATAGTATGGCTATCGATAGTATTGTACCTAAAATCAGAAAATCAGAATCACATTTATGTATTATATAAATATAACAAAATGAGTCTAAAGGTTCACCTTCAATTAGCAAAAATCCAGTGAATGTCATAAAAACTGAAGTGACTGCAAATACTGAAAATAATATAATGGGAATACCACAAGCGATTAGGCACATGAATATGCATATTGAAGCCAGAGGGTGCTCTAAAAGCCAGTGCATAAGACGTTCACAACGACTGTAAAATCCATATTCGTCTAAATAAAAATTTATGCGTTCAGTAACATCTTTACCTAAGCAGAAAAAAATAATTGAATAAGTAGAATAATGTTTAATAACTCAAACATTATTTCTTTACCTATTTGTACCCCCAATTGTATTAATTTTCCGTACGGATCCAATTGTTGTGGTGGCGGGTATCTATAGTTTGTATTCTAAAAATATAACAAATTTTAATTTTTTTTATATATATGTAAGTACTTTTAAATATAATGTACATTTACTTACGACCATTCTATTTCGTGACCAATTCGAACAAGTTTTTTTTGAAAATGTCACAAAAGAACAATATTTTGGTTGTCAATAAATTTGAGTGGCAGTGCCCTCTAAACGCTAAAAGCTATACTGTTATATATTCAAGATTCAAACCTTTCCACTAATAACACGTTTTAGGACTAATGTTTAGACTGTGTGCTTTTCAATAATTATTATTTATAAATAAACTTCTGTATGTTCATGTAACAAATTTATATATTTCTATTCCTAAAATATTATACAACAACCTCAGACTTATATATGCAATATCAAAATATTCTTAACACTAAATAGTATCTATTTGTTCTTTGCCACAGCTGCAATAGCCTGAGCGGCAGCATCATCTAAATCAACTGCAGATATTATTGGAAGACCTGAATTTTTAATTATGTCTTTAGCCGCTTCTACATTTGTACCCTCAAGTCTCACAACTAATGGCATGTTCAATTCTATCTTTTTTAAAGCGTTAACAATGCCATTAGCTATTGTTACACAATTAACAATACCACCAAAAACATTAACCAGGATGGCCTCAACTTTTGTATCAGACATTAAAATTTTAAATGCGTTTACAACTTGATTTTCATTCACACCACCGCCTACATCTAAAAAGTTGGCAGGCTCCCCTCCGTTTAATTTAATTATATCCATAGTAGCCATAGCCAAACCTGCTCCATTAACCAAACAACCAATATTACCATCCATTCCAATATAGTTCAAATTATACTTGGCAGCCTCTACTTCTCTAGGGTCATCTTCTGAATCATCACCCATTTGGAAAATTTCTTTCTGTCTAAACTCAGCATTATCATCAAAGTTTATTTTGGCATCAACTGTTATAACTTTACCGTCTGTAGTCTCTGCTAAAGGATTTACTTCAAGTTGTACTGCATCTATCTGTTTAAACATGTTCCAAAGCTTTAAAATTTCTTGCTGTGCTTTAGTTTTCAAGTCTCCTTTGAAGTTAAGGAACTCAGCAACCTCTAATGCTATTTCAGGTTTTAAACCTTCAATTATGTCAATTGGATATGTTTTAACTAAATCTGGAGTCTTTTCGGCAACAGCTTCAATATCCATACCTCCTTCAGGAGAAGCTATGATAACAGGACCATTATGAGCTCTGTCCATGATGATACATAAATATGTTTCCCGACAAATGTCAACGCTTTGTGCAACCATAACTTTTTGTACAAGTATACCTTCAGCTTTTGTTTGTTTTGTAATAAGTCTGTGACCCATCATATTTTTAGCAATTGGCAATATTTCTTTAGGGTCCTTTGTTATATGAACACCACCTTTAAAGCCATTATCAAAATGGCCTTTGCCTCTACCTCCTGCTAAAACTTGGGCCTTGATAACATATTCGGGGACTTTGAAATCATTTAAGACACTTGTGTTTTCGGTGTTATCTAATAATCTAAAGGCTTGAACGGCAACGCCACTTTTTTGAAGTAGAGTTTTACTTTGATATTCTTGCAAATTTAAGCAACGTATTTGAACGCTGTTTAAACGTTTTATGTAATTTGTGAAATCTGTTTTAAACAATGAATTCAATCTTGCAGCCATCGTGTAAATCAAATACAGCGATATTTATGATATAAAATAAGAAGTGTTTACAACAAACTGATAATATAATTACAACATAAGATGAACTTAGAACTTTAATCTACATGATAAATATGAAATCATGAAAGTGCAATCAGTTAAAACAACAAACATGTGCAATAAAAATTTATATTGACAGTTTTCAGTATTACCAGATTATCAAGAGATCATATATTCATGTACATTTTCTTAAATCTGGCAACATTTAAATAAAGAAGAACAAGTTGCTTATGAGAGATACTGATACTGTTTTAAATAAATAAATATATTATTAGAAATAGACATAAGTAGTGAGAATAATTGTAAATTATTAAATAATAATAATGGCCCTTTGTTGTGCTAGTAAGTAATATAGAAAATAGTGAACGGCGATAGTTAAATTTCTCATTTTACAACCACCGGTTTTGTAGGTTAAGACGAATTGTTTTCATGGCGCATTTCTAACAAACTTTTATTAAATCACAAAATTTTTATAAACACTCTTATATTCGTTTAGTTTAACTATTATTAGTTATCCGTAAGCAAAATATTATGTATTGTCAATTAGCAATAATAATGTATTCTAGTTTCCAACGAGGTGCCAGAACATCCAGTGTTATCACCTTCTTCAGGAGCAATATTCGAAAGGCGAATTATAGAAAAATATATAACTGAAAATGGAATAGATCCTATTAGTGGCAAGGAATGTACTATTGAAGAGCTTATTGATATAAAAAGTAATACATTTAATAAAATACTTTAATATGTTTGATAAATACTCATTAATATTTATCGCTAACAGCAACATCAGTTGTCAAGCCAAAACCACCATCTTCAACTTCTATTCCTGCTACTTTGAAATCTATGCAAGATGAATGGGATGCATTGATGTTACACACTTTTACACAAAGACAACAATTACAGGTAAATGAAACATAATCACTTTTTTAATTTTATTGGTGTTAACATTATTTTTTCATCATGTAGACTGCAAGACAAGAATTGTCCCATGTTCTATATCAACATGATGCTGCCTGTAGAGTTATAGCTAGATTAACAAAAGAAGTTACAGCCGCCAGAGAGGCTTTGGCTACTTTGAAACCTCAAGCTGGTGTTACAAATGTATCACAACAGGTAAATTGATGAATATACATGCATAGTGTTAGCAATACTTCAGGCTAATGTATCTATCCCATCAGGCTTCAGAACAAGCATCTCAAGCTTCTGCACAAGATCAACAGCTATCTCAATCAACAATTGTCGGTATGTCTGCAGAAGTTGTACAGAAATTGCAAGAACGTGCTACAATTCTTACTCAAGAGCGTAAGAAGAGAGGCAGAACAGTACCAGAAGAATTGATATCAGCTGAACAAGTGAAAGGATTCCTTACATTGGCTAGTCATCCTGTATGTAAAACTACATCAATATTGACTATAAAAGTTCAAGTAATGATTGATTTTTTTTTAAGGGTTTACATTCAGCATCAGTTCCTGGTATTTTGTCACTCGATATTCATCCCACTGATCACAGCAAGATATTAACAGGTGGAAATGACAAAAATGCAACAGTCTTCAATAAAGACACTGAACAAATTGTTGCTATTTTAAAAGGACATTCAAAAAAAGTTACAAAAGTTGTTTGTCATCCCGATGATGATATTGTTTTAACAGCTTCGCCTGATCAAACTATTAGAGTTTGGAATGTGCCAACGTAAGTAGATTTTAAAACAAATATCATACTTTATTTTTCAATCTTGGTTTTAATTTACAGGTCTCAGACAACTTTGATTCTTCGTTGTCATGAAGCACCTGTTACTGGTTTATCACTTCATCCAACTGGGGATTATGTCTTATCCACTTCTCTTGATAAACATTGGGCTTTCTGTGACATACGTACAGGAAAATACTTGACTAAAGTATGTATATTTAAATATAAAGGTAGAAATATTTAAAATCTTAAAATAAACAAACTTGCCTATAGGTTATAGACACTGGCGATATGGGTCTCACAGCAGCACAATTCCATCCTGACGGTCTGATTTTTGGAACTGGTACCGAAGACTCCCAAGTTAAAATTTGGGATTTGAAGGAGCAAACTAATGTTGCCAATTTTCCAGGTAACTTCTGTACAATAAAACTAAAACTTTAGACTATGATTGTCTTAACTTGACCATTTTGTCAATTTTAGGACACACTGGGCCAATTACTGCAATATCATTCTCTGAGAATGGGTACTATTTAGCTACTGCAGCAGATGATTCTTGTGTTAAGCTTTGGGATTTGAGAAAATTGAAGAATTTTAAGACAATTCAACTTGATGAAGGACATCAAATTAAAGACTTGTGCTTCGATCAGAGTGGCACCTATTTGGCAGTTGCTGGTTCAGACATTAGGTAAACACTATCAATGAACTATTATCAATTACTTTTTATAGTAGATAATAAACTAACAACTTTATTTTGTTTAGGGTTTACCTATGCAAACAATGGCAAGAATTGAAAGTTTTCAATGACCACACAGCATCAGCTACTGGTGTTCGGTTTGGAAGACATGCTCAGTATATAGCATCTACAAGCATGGACAGAACACTTAAATTATATGGAATTGAATAAATTTTAAAATATTTTAATACTAGAATCGATATGTATGTAAAATCTTTTGTAATGTTTTTATGATTATATGATGATAAACATGTTTTTAAGTTAATATATAATAAGTTCTATATGAAAATTGAGTTTTTATCTTAATAATAAAGTCTTAATTTACAGTGAAATAGTACTTACATTAGTTCAAACTAACTATAATGAAATAAAACTGCCACTTTAGTTTAACTCTAATGTGTTGCTTTGTATTTGTATGTACAAATACGTCAAAAATATACACAGCATTAAATAATAATATGCTGCTATTCTGTTATATATATATCATTTCATTTAGGACAGTAATTAAATAAATTAACTTTGCACACCCCTTTTAAAACTATGTTTAAGTTCTTGGCCTGCCAGATCTTTGTATGAAACATCCTTTGAAAGAGTTCAAACGGACATCAATCTCACCATCTTCAAGCTGCAAAAATAAATATAGACAAATAGTTAAATGAAAACTATTAAACAATAATATCATTTTTCATAATTTTTACCTGATCTTGTGTATAAATATCTTCATAACAAGAAGGCGACACACATTCCCTGATGCACCTTTGTCTTGCTGCAATATTAGTCAAATGTGAGCACCTGCTACTTTGTTCACAAGCTGATTCAAATTCACGAAAAATTAATTCCTAAATAGATAAATAACATATGTTAAACAAATAGTAGAACTAACAGCACTAATTTCACGTATACGAAATTATAACTTCAGTACATTTCTGCTGGATTCTTTATATTGGAATTCGGGGAAAGAAAACACAATTCTTTCGGCTGCTCCTTTGATTAATTCGAAATGTATGAATAAAGTTAATAACAAAAAGTAGTATTTAGGATTCCGGTACATTTTGACTTATAATCCGATGTGTTTACATGTTATTGCAGAGTATATGATGCAAAATGCAAATTTTATTTATAATTTTGGCACAAACTTAAACTTATTTGGTCAAAATTAATCTATTTGTTGAAATATTAATGTTGAATGCGGTTTTGTGAAAACGTGCGCATGTGCGAAGGATGCGTCTTGTCACAAATATCCTTATACATAATATATATTTATGTATATAAAAATAGTGATAATTTAATTTTGAATAAACTTACGGAAAATAGGTTTAAAATAAATTAATTAATTTAAAAGTTCTGTCTAACTTTAATAAAAAATGTAACACTGAGCGCTAGCAGTACGCATCGTCCATTTTGAATCAAAATTTATAACGATAATAAATAATTTCATACTCATATAATCTATGACAAATATATAGATTATTTAATTCTGTATAAATCTGCAGAAAAAATAAAACAAAACCTGTGACTATAAATAAATTTACTACAAAATGTAAACTTCCATACATAATTTTATTCATTTATTAACGATCAATACATGTAATTTAACATTACTTAATTTTATTTTTCTTATTAAACTTCTGACCACTCTTTTTCCCCTTCTTGCTTGAAACTGCATCTGATGCATCAGTACTCTGTTTTCGTTTGTTATTAACTTTGAATTGACTCTCCACATCATTTGAATCATCAAAATCCTTAATTACAATATCATTAGGGAGACAACTAAACATGTAATCTTCTGCAGATTTTCGTGAACCGCTTATAAAACTATCTACAACTGAAGAGTTTAATTGATCACTTTGTCTTTGAAAATTGTATTTATTGAGTTTAGGTTTTGAAGTTTTCGTCATAGATGTTGTTGCTTTGGTTTCTGAACTATCATCTTTATTAATTTTATTTTTCTTTGTCTTATTTGCTTGAGTATCTATATTTTTATCTGGTATATTTTTCAAACCTTTTGATTTTTTCTTAATAACATTTGGTATGGGTGATATACTTGCAGATTTTGATGTTTTAGTATCAGATTTGGTTGATTTGAGTTCAGAATCTTCATCGGAAGGAGAGGTTTCAAGTGAAACCCTTGATTTTTGTTTGCTGACAGTTTTGTTTTTTAATTTGGGCAATACACTAGCACCATTTACAGCTACTTTATTATTGGTTTTTGCTTTGTTTTTACTATTCTTATTCTCAGTTTTGCCAATATTTTTAGGACTTTGTTTAACATTTTTTGCTAATTTAGACTTTAATTTACCAACACCTACTGAGGTAGGACTTTTTTCCTGTTCACTACTTTCTTCCATATCCTCTGATTCCTCCTCTACTTCTTCCACACTGGCATTTGGTTTTCTATCATCATCATCATCACTCTCTGCATCATTTTCATTCTTGTCACTACGTGTAATATTTGAGAACTTCTTCAACTTGGCAATAAAGAATCCTTCCATATTATGCGTGTGAGGATAGATACGCCTTGTCAATTTTAATGAAGGATGAAACCTGTAAAAGTATTGTTGAATTGTATAAATTGAAATTGAAATAGTATGTATTCAAATAGTATATGATGCTCACCTGTGATGCCTATAATTTACAAAGCCCTCTGTTCCAAATTCTAAACCTGTGGGAACAAGCTTGACATCACGTTTCTTTAAAGCATAATCAATAACCCATTCATTTTCTTCAGGAAGTATTGAACAAGTTGAATAAACAATGTAGCCCCCAGTCGCTGATTTATAATTAACACAATCAATAGCAGCTAACAACAACTGTCTTTGTATATTGTAACATCTTTGTACATCCAATTCATCTTTAGATGTCTTTACACTGGGATCTTTAGCAACAACTCCTGTGCCGGTGCAAGGAGCATCAACTAAAGCCCTATCGAATCCCTTGATAACATTTGTAAACTTACGCCCATCATAGGAGCAAATAACACTATTCACAATACCCAGCCGATGGAAATTTCCAGAAATAGCCCTGGCACGGTCTTTATTAACGTCATTTGAAAATAAAACTCCTGTGTTTTTCATACATGCAGCTATGTGTGAAGATTTGCCACCAGGAGCTGCACAGAGGTCAAGAACTCGTTCATTTGGTTGAGGAGCTAAAGCCATCACAGGGAGAAAACTAGAAGCACCTACAAATATAAAACATATTTAATTTTCTAATAAATACAATTTCAGAAGAGTATGTGTATTACCTTGAATTATATAATGCCCTGCCAGATATTCTGGAGTTGCTCCTATAGGTACAGTTGAGCTGTATACAACTAAACCAACCTAAAACATATCAATGTTAATTTTCAGCTATAATGATCCTGCATATATATATATATATATATATATATATATATAATGCATGCATTTTATACCTGTGTCCATTTCCCAACTGGATCTAAATTAACACCACGATTGATCAAAGCTTGTGCCAAATCTCTTCTACGTGTTTTTAAACTATTTGTACGTATTGTTAAAGGCCTTTGGACTTCACTAGCTTCCAAATACTCCAATAACTCATTCAATGGAAACAGTTGCATCAGTTTTTCCATTAAGAAATCATTATAACTGCAACAAATTTATAAAATAATTATATGAATACTTTTGTAATGCCTATATAAATATATATATATATATATATATATATATATATATATACATTTGAACTATTTTCTACCTGTAATAAGAACATAAATCCGTCTTCAATAACTCCATATAATCCTTCCTGGAATGCTCCTTATCTTTTTTTAGATGTTCTGATTCATTTGTCAGAAGATTTACAATATCTCTTATTCGTTTCTGCACATCTTGCAATGAAATAGGCTTCTCTAGCTCAGATTCAGAAGGAAAAGCAAAATGCTCTTTATCAGCAATATTTAATTGAAGTTCTGCTTGAGATTCATTCAATTCTCTTTTTTGTTGTTTTTTGAGCTTCTTATTTTCTTTTTCTATTGGTAACATTTCATCTTCATCATCTTCGTCATCATCATTGTCATTATCTTCTTCATCATCTTCGTCATCATCATCAGAATCTGCAATTATGAATTTGTAAAATATGCAACCGACGATATTAATATGTATAAACAATCACATACCGTCTTTATTGCCAAAATCATCTCCAATTTCATCAGAATCATCATCATCACTTTCAACATCTACGTCATTTAATGACCCAACTTTGCAATCATCTACAAACAATAAAAACATACATTTAATGCTAGCTAATTTATAATATTTTACAATAAAAAATATGCACACCATCAACTTCTTCATCATCACTGTCAGATTCTTGCTGATCTTCATCTGAATCTTCGGAAGCTTCATCTACTTCTGAATTATCAGAATCGTCATCGTCATCTTCTTCTTCAATTTTTTTCTTTTTGGGCGTCAACCAAGTTTTATTAGAATCAGAAAACTCTTTAATGGTATTATTCTTCTTTTTGGTATTTAAAACTATCTCCTCTTCAGATTCTTCTGAAGATGTTACACTTTGTGGTTTTACTAGTTTATGGTGCTTTGAAGAATCTTTGTCTAAATAAAAGTTTATTGATGAAAAGATGATATAGAATGTATATCTAATAATAATTATTTACCTTTTTTATTTGCTATGATATTATTGTTAACACCAGATTTCTTCTTAATAGCTGTAGTCTTATCTTGTGAAGTATTCTGTTTCTTCACTGCCTGTTTCAATTGCCTTTTCATTTCTCTTTGTTTTTGTCGATGGCTTTTTGATTTGCTGATCTTGCCATCTAAAAACAAAGCAAACAGAGATCAAAACCCATTCAATATTACTACTAAATAATAATTATAATCGAGTATCAACTTGATTAAGAGACATGAGCTCGACAGATCATAATCTCTATGTTCCCATATAAAAATAAGTTTTATACAATAATTTCAGATAATATAATTATCAAATAATATATAACAATAAATGTAATTGGATAACATACTAAGTATCTTTTTATTCAAAATATTACCTTTCTCCTGTGCGAAAACAGGATCCCTTTGTTTCTTATTTTTACGCCCAGGACCTTTCTTAATGATTTTATCATTTTCATCAAATTTCGCTTTACGTCCCATGTTTGTATACGAATTCTTAAGTATTATAAAATAAAAACTTGATAATAACTAATTTTATGTTATAACCTCTTTTCTTTGATGGATTTGAAACACATGCGCTGGTAAAACATGGAGGAACCTGCAATGAAAAAGACAACGCTTGAAAAGTTTAATAACCCATGGCGGCAAATTCAAATTCAAACTGCAAACAAAATATGAACATGATATATATATATATATATATATATATATATATATATATATATTCCAAACTATCATATCCTTTTGAGGCTAGACTTTCATAAACACATCATTCAATAAATATAATTTTATTAAGTCTTTGACAAAAATATTTCTATACATTAAGTATCAATTTCTTAGCATTTTTTCCCAACTTTTTTGATTGTTTAAGTACACATACTTATAATTAACATCATTTGATTATAAGTCATTTTAATATTAAAACTACATGTTTTGAAAAGAATTCTTAAAATTACAATACTTGATATATATAAAGTTCTATATGACATCGACTTATTGCATAAAAAATAACATGGAAACCAAGATATAATGCTTACTTAACAAATTGAAGAATTAAACTAATCATACAATAATAATAATAATAACACATCTAAATCAAAAATACAAATTATATAATGAAAATTACTACGATTTAGATGTATCAAATATTAAATTATAAATATATATATATATATATATATATATATATATATATATATAATTTTACATCAACAAAATTGTAACAACAATATTTAACAACTAATTTATCCTAAGTGCCAAAAATATTACTTTTTCAAATAAGTACCTAAATAGTGTTTTTTCATGATAACAATCTTATTAATGCAATATATTACAATTAAAAATATTCATAATGTAACAACAATAAATTCAAAACAACTAAATAGCATATTATAATAATCGTTAAAACAGCAGGGCTATAAAATCAAATAAAATTAATATACATTCGCTAATAAAATATGTTTCTAATTTCTTATTGAACTCACACGAGAGCATTGCTAGAATTAAAGCAATGAATTATATTCCATAATACATTAATTCTTTATAACTATAGATATTTTTTAAAATGACCCAAACTAAAAAAAAAAGTAGGTAGTTTACTCCTAAAACATTGTTCAAGAAACGTAAGAAATATGATCACTTAAAAAAAAAAAAAGTGAAAGAAAAGCCCTTCAATGGCATTGGGATAATGTAAAAACAATAATTTATCCGGATAAAAATGCTTAGATAAAAAAAAAAACAAAAAGTTGTAATAGTTTTGTTACAAATATTTAAATCTGGTTAAAATACTAACTGTGTGCATATTCAATATTTAACTTATAAAAAAAAATATTTATAATTTCTTAGATTAATAAATACTAGCACTTCCAGTACTTGAAAACTAATTACTTAGTTTAAGAATGAAATGATCAAAACTTCCTACAGCCCTGTATAAAATTTCAGTAATTTAAAACGTGATTTTCCTTAACATTTAAAGTATTGTACACTTATTTTTTAAAAAATATTAATTTTTAAAGTATGTATTAAATATATAACTATCTGGACCACATTTATTTTAACTTGATTCTCAAGTTTTACCATTTACTATTTTGCAGTTATTTTTTATATGATTGTTTAATGAATCGTCTTTTGATGAGACACCTGAAAAAAAATAAAAGAAAATTCAAATATCTGTTATATATACATATATAAAATTCCATTTATTAATTCTATTACCATTAAGTAAGGAGCGGCAAAAATGTTTAGTATCTGTCCATTCCTCTTTCAAAGACAGATTGAACATAGAATAATCAGGATTTCCAGTGACTTCACGTTCAATTTGCAAAAATTTGGGTAGAGTTTTTGCTAATTGGTCATCAGCCAGGGCTGTATAAGTCTCAAGTAACATAAGACCTTTACACCTGAAATTATGAATTAAATATAAATTATCTGTATAATATAATATAATTTATCATATAATAATAAATTATCTTATAAATAGAGCATAGCTTGCCTTGGATGACTTGGTTCACGATAGATATCAAGTTGATAATACTGATTGTTCACCAGAAAACACCTCCTCTTTTTATAAATAGTGAAATGGGCATCGTCTCTTTGAGAGAGTAGATTAATATAATCTCGATGGGTTATTTGTGTCTTCACTTCTACAGATTGACCATGAACCTTTGGTCTAAAAGAAAAACAAAAATTAATTTAACTAATTACTAAATAGTTCTAGTATTAAATAGTAATTTTTTTTTCTGTTCTTACCTGCGTATCGTATGAATATAACTCCAATGTCCTCTTTGACCACGTTTTCTCAACCTAGCCTGGACTCGTGGTCCACTAGCTTGCAGATAATTGTGGACGACATCGAAATCTTGGAAAGGAGGAAAAACAGACTCATCTGGCAATGGGCCTGACACTAATAGAATAATAGTTATGTGATTTTTTTTTCTTAAATCATTATTGCAATAATAAGTGAAAAAAATTACCAAGAAATTTGAGTTTTCTTGAATTCACTCTGAGACGATCTCCTGTGTCAATTCCAATCTTGACACAGATACTTTCAATCATACGATTCATTTTAGCTTCGAAATCCGTCGAATTATCGATGACATCAAAATAAGGATGACCCACCCAGGCTGCAGCTGCCTAGAAAATAATTATGGTACTTTAATTTTTTTTATAATTATGTAAAATAAATTTTTAAGTTGAATTGACTTTGTTGAAATCTAACGTTTAAAATGAAATTTAATCAGGTACTAGTAGATATTCTTTATAAATGTTACCTTGTCATCAAGCAATCTAGCAACATCCACACCTTCTGATCTGCAAACATGTTCCTGAAATAAATATAAATAATGTTAATAAATATAAATTTTGTTAAGAATATTTCTCTTATTCTATTGAGACATGAATATACAATATTAATTTAAGGCTTAGTGTTTTTAGTGGCAAAATTGTAGATATTTTAGACATTTAACTAAATTTCCCACACACCTCACTCAAGTTACTTAAATTATTTAATATTTGTAAAGGGGAATAAAAAATACATGCACATTTAGTGCTTATTTCCTCCTTACTTCGGTCGAATAGAACTGCTCAGCTCCTTTAGCAGCAGATACCATATGTATAATTTGATTATACCGATTATCTCTGAGCTCTACACTATTCCACTCGTTTGCCAACATCATCTGTTCCCATTTATCGCGAGATATAACTAGAATACAAAATAAGCACATTAAAATATATATATATATATATATATATATATATAACACAATTATTTATATTTAATTTATACTTACAAGCACTTGCATCCATGGCACCCCTATCACATATGATAAGACAATTCCTCTTGCAACTGTTGCCCAGCTCGAAGAATGTGTCTTCAATCTGGAGCATCGTTCTGAGGAGGTTTTCTTGAAATTTGAGAGCTGAAAAATAATAGAGGAATGAAAGTCATTGTAATAGTAATAAGTGGAAAAGTGATAGTTTGAAACGATTTTATTAAAATATACACTTTATAATTCGTAATTATCATTATAAATTTAAGAGAGCCTTTTCGATATATGTTGATGGTATTTAATTTATATTTATATATAAGTATAAGCAGCATCAATTGACACAAATATTCAGTAATCAATATATATATATATATATATATATATATATATATATATATATACACAAAATAAATAAAGATTAAACTTCAATGTCAATTGGAATAATTGGCAATTTTTATTGAACTGCTAGACGCATTTGCATGTATAATATTACATGTAAACAAATATATTATCTGCAAACACGTTGACGATAATTATTATTTAATATTTTTCATGTTATTTGATAACCGCAATAACCTTCCACAAATTATGAAAGCAAAAAGAATCAAATTAAGTAATTCAGTATAACTATTTTTAACAAAGTCATAATGAAATTTAAAATTTTATTTGTACTGTTATAATTCTACAGTAACTACTATCATTTGTACTGTAATTATTTCAACAATTTTATAACAATTTCTACAATTAAATCACAATAAAAAAATGAAAATCATTGTGCCTATTTTATTAAAACGCGGTGATGTTTTTGCATATTTCCAATGTAAACAACAATATTTATTAATTTTAAAGCAAATAAATTCATAAGTAAAATAACTAAATTTACTATTTTAGCAAAATAAAAAAATATTTTATATTTTGGCAATTTTGTTAAACTTGAATTGAATATTCTATGTTTAACTAGTATGGAAAAAAAATAGTTATGGTAAAAATTCAAAAATTACCTTCATCTTCTGATAGATCAGAGAATTTTATGCCACCGCTGAAAAATAATATTTATATTAAAAATATGCACACATTTGGTAATTAAATATGGGTAAACATCGATTGCTACTGTGTAAAATAATTTATTAAAATTAAATGCATGTCGATAAAGATATGGAAAATTTATTGAAGTAAATAAATTTATCTTGGCGATAAAAATTAAGTCAATTTCTCTTCTGCATAAATTGTAAACAGACTAAGAAGGATATTTATATTATTGAAGGATTATAAGTATTCTGTCCCATAGTCTAAATAAATCGAACTTCAATTAAAAATATTGTATTACTCTATTTTTTTGTTCATTTGATAATTAAGACCTCAATATTGATTATGCATCCTCATGTGCATACGAGGTCTGTTCAAAAAGTACCCGGAATTTTCGTTTTTTCAAAAAAATATTTATTTATTCGTCTACATTAATGTGGTCCCCTTCAAAGTAGTCCCCCCCAGATATAATACACTTATGCCAGCGTTTTTTCCAATTTTCGAAGCACCCTTGATATTCACTTTTTGATATGTCCTTGAGCACTCTCAGCGATTTTCTTCAATCGAGGAAAACCGCCGTCCTTTCATGGGTCTCTTCAACTTTGGGAATAGGAAAAAGTCACACGGAGCCATATCTGGTGAATTTTTGCACTTTGCAACACTTTATTTCATTTTTTACGCAAAATTTAATACAAATTCTTTGACTTTTCAATTCTTCCATTGTAAAAATCGCCGAGCTCAGAAAAACACGTCGAACCTTAGCGACTACCACAGACAAAGTAAACAGTGAATA